CCCTTCTCCAATGTATGTTATGCACAGGCACCAGATTCACCCTTCCAAAACAGTAGTTCTCAGACATCAGCATGCATCAGAATCACCAGGAGGGCTTGTTAAAGCACGTATGGGCTGGGCCCCACTCCAGAGTTTCTCACTCCACTGAGATAATGTGCACATCAACAGTCTCCCAGGTGATGCTGTTCCAAGGACCACACTTAGAGAACCACTGCTCAAACATCACTACCCAGTGTTCAACGGCTCTCCATTTCCTGCACATTAAACTCAAGACTCCTCAGTCTTGTCCTCTTAATTCTTTTTAACCTGGTCTCTTCCTCTCACTCAAAAATTACATTACTCTGCTCAACTATGGAACTTTCTGGCTGTAGCCAAATTGGTCTAACCATGTACCACTCCCAACTTTATGCCATGATCATGCATAAAGTATCTTTTCACCTTCCTTCTCTTGTTCAAGTTCTACCTTTTCATTGAGTACAGCCCAAGGTCCATATCCCCAGTGAAACATCCTGAGTCTCAATCAGATTTCTATTGTCTCCTCTAGGCTCCTATAACATTAATTCTTCAGGTTGCTGGGTACAACCTAAAGATCATGGATTTTGAAGCCAGAAACTTTTAAGTCTGAATCCTACTTTTTCCACTAGCTGTGCAATTTGACTAGCTAAATGACAATCTACTTCCCTCGTGATTCTGCCTCGGAAACCCAAGAAGGGGTCACATGAGTCAGGTCCGAGTTGACGGCACATAACAACAACAGAACAATGGGCAAAATATTGAAGGATGCAGGAAGCATCAGAAGAAGATGGAAGGAACACACAAAGTCATATACAAAAAAAGAATGGTCTACACTCAACCATTTGAGGAGGTAGCATATGATCAAGAACCAATGGTATGAAGAAAGAAATCCAAGCTGCACTGAAGGAATTGGTGGAAAACAAGGCTTCAGGAATTGATGGAATATCCATTGAGATGTTTCATAAATAGGCTACATTTTTGGTCATAAAAGGAATCAAGTCACTTGGTTAATCATAAGAATTCTGTCACAATTTACTGTACTACCTTAGACAAGTTCATTCCTTCAATAGACATTTCCTGAATAACTACTGTGTATCAAACATTATACTAGATGATAAGGACACAGAGGTAAACTATGTAATTCATGTCTTCCTGGAATTTATAGTGTAGTGTGAACACAGGCAACTGGGGCAGACTGCTCAGTCATTCAGCAAACTCATATCCTTTTCACCTTAGACATAAAGATATACTAAATTTCCCAGCCTCCACATGACTGTGTCCTGGCCAGCAGAATGCAAGTAGAAGCGATGTTTGCCATATGCAAGCCTGACCGTTAAAAACTTCCTCCTTGATCATCCACATTCACTCATATTCATAGTCTCTCACTCCTTCTGTCTCTCTTCTTGCTTTCTAACTAAATGCAGAGGACTCCAAGGTCTTAGGGGTAATAGAACCACAAGATGGAAGACCCTGGGTCCCTGAATTACCGTGTGGAAGGCCATCTGCTGAATAACCCCTTGAAACTAGGATGGGAACAAGAAAGGAGAATGCATGCAGAACATTCCTATTCTGTTAAGTGACAGAGGTTAGAGGTTATAGCACTTAGTCTATGCCACCAAAGCATGAACCAAAACTAACTCCAAGACATTATTCAGGGAAGACTCCCCAGAAAAAGAAACACTTAAGATGAACTTTGAAGGACAGTGTGAGACAGTAGAGAAAGGAACGGAGGGAAGAAGAGGAAAAAGCATATACAAAGTCATGGACCTCTTAAGAACTGTGGTACACTGGGGAGTGTAAGTGATTCCTGACGACTGGCATATGGAGTAATGTTGGGAGATGGAACTGCTCAAAATGTTTTTGTTGTAATGACTGATAAAGAGTGGAACCTAAGAGACTTAGTAATTACTAGAAATGATGGATAAGGGAAGAGGAAAATAAATAATCAAAGACTTAGAAGGCATAAGAGATGGTACCATTTTCATTGAGATAGCAAATACAGGATAAATAGGTGAAAAGATGAGAAGATGAATTTAGTTTCCAACAATTGAAACTGAGGTAGCTACGGGACATCTCAAAGAAGATTCAGTATGCACTTGGATATATGGGCTTAGAGCTCCTGGCAGTGGTGTGGACAGGAGAAGTGAATTTGGAAATTGCCATGGTATACATTGTGATACATGGTATACGTTGGTATACATGATATGCACTGTTATGGCATACATGGCAATTTAAACCATAAGCAGGTAAGATTGCTCAAACAGAATATCTAGAGTAAGAAATCAGAGAAATGGGAAGGGGAGAAAGGGAGAGAGAATGAGAGGACAAGAGCGACGATAAGAAATACCTCATGGAAACAAAAGAGAGGACAGATTGAAAATTGACAAAGCAGTCAGTAATGACAAGTACTTCAAAAAGATCAAGATAGATGACGTCCCGAGAAGCATGCATCATACTTCACTAGGCAGCTATTGTGATCTTAACAAGTTCCATTTCAGTATTGGCAAAAGCCAGGTTAAAATGAGCTGCAGAGTGAATGAGAAGGAGGAAGGACAGATAGAAATACAGAATGCTCTTTAAGGAAACTTGGCTCTAAAAACAATTGGCCAGAAGCAGTCAAAAAGACAGAGTTTGCTTCATTTTGGTTTTTGTTTTCAAAACGGAAAAATTCACATGTGTTAACATGCAGAGTTACTTGGTCTGATTCTCTGAACATTTATTTCCCTATCTGTGGAATGGAGATAATATGACTCTTCTACTTGACCTGTTGGGTTATTTTCAGAACAAATAGGATAACAAATATAAAAGATTGTAAAGCACTGCATAAAGGGCAATGTTATTATATATCTATAAATGTTGGAAGAATGGAGTTACAAAAGTTAAGAGTCCAGTGAAAATGGTTGGCTGTGAAATCAATGAAAAATGTAATTAGTCTAGACCTAGAACTATTAAGAAAAATGTCCATTTAATATACATTACAAGTTGTTGACACCCAAATCTTAGCAGCTAACAGATGTTTAAGTCGATTCTGGTGAAAGGGAGCCCAGCTGATGCAGTGGTTAAAGAGCTTGGCTCTAACTGCAAAGTTGGTGGTTCAAACCCAGCAGCTGCTCCACTGGAGAAAGATGGGCTGGTCTGCTTCTGTAAAGATTGACAGCCTTGGAAACTCTATGGAGGCAGTTCTACATTGTCTTTATAGGGTTGGGTGTGTCAGAACTGCCACAGTGGCAGTGTGTTTGGGTTTTGTTTTATGCTGGATAAAATGCTTCTGGTGCTCCTAGGTTGTGGTTTGGGTTTCCAGATGTCTTCATTATGCCAGTAAAAGAGAAAAAAAAAAAAAAGCCTATGAACCCTGGCAGATCACCGTGCATTAAGTCATTTTAAGTCATCTGGGAATTTATTAGTCTTACGAGTGGTGGTAGTTCTTAACTAAAGATTCCTGGCAGCTACCCAGTTTCACAAAACAACAGGCTAACTCTATAATTTAGGTCTCATGACCAGTGAAATCATGGTGAATGGCCACAGCTTGTTGAGTCTGTTATTCCAAGGGGTAAGTGAGGTATTCTGGGAAGTAAGCTAGCCATTTTAGGACTTCCCTCCTGGGAAGAGTTAACCATCCAAAGGAATATGGTCCAATCATTATTTCACCAGTCATGAAACTTTTAAAGATTCTACAAAGAACATTATTTTTAGCACTATGACATCAATGTAACGAGTTTTTCTCTCATAAAATTTCTAACCAGTCGTTTTAACATGCCCTATCTTCCGCCCATGGGAAGATATCTTATCCCCGTAAAAGAAAAATGTCTCTCTCCCTCTCTCTGCACTTTTGGACTACTCCCTGTGACTGGATTTCCTAGCTGCTGATGCCTCCTCCTCATTCATTTTACTTTCAAAAGTGTAGGGTGCTAATTAAGGCTGAGCAGCTGTGTCTCCAGCTTCAGTGTGCAACATAAGGAAACCTCCTTTAACAACAGATACTACAGAGTCAATCTCGACACCCAATAAACTCTATCGGCAAATACTTCTGCATGTTGTTGTTCATTAATCACAGAGAAACCAGACTACAACACTAAGATGGTGCTCTTTCATTCATGTTTTATCTATAATATGTGACAATACTATATATAGCTACTACACAAGGTTGACTGTCCACAGGTCAAATTTTAGACTTTGTATCCACTGAGATACTGCATTTCATCCTAAGACCGGGGCTCAGTAAAGCACTGTGACATTACCCTTATCAGACCTACAAAGAATAAAACAATATTTATGTTATCCTCAAACAATGCTACCAAATACTTAGATAGACCTTCGTAGTTAATCAAGTTCTTTTATAAGTTTATCTCATTTATTCTTTATTATTATTATTATTATTATTATTATTATTATTATTTTGCAGTGTTCCCCCCCACCACCTCATTTATTTTTAAAACAATCGTATACAGTTATTACTCTTTCTCACCTCTGGAGAAAGCTGAATTCCAGAGAGTTTAAGAAACAGTGCCAAGGCTACACGGCTGTTTGGTGACAGAGCCACATCTGTATATCCCAGGTCCTCTGATTTCCTCAACTCTTTCTATCACACGATAGATGCCCCCCATCATGTTACCCACCCTATTTTCATTTCACTTCTCTCACAACAATGGAAAATAGCCTGACTTCCTCTGAAGCCATTGGGAATCGTTGATGAAATACCGGAAGGAATTAATTTCTCCTGGCAATAAAAATACACAGCATATCAGTTAAATAAGAAATGTTATGGGATCATCATAGAAAGCTTTTTAAAGGAAGGTACAAATGTTGTTTGAGATCCTGAAAAGGCCAAAAAAGATATTATAAACAAATGACCAAATGTGGAATGGGGGAAAATTCCACAAACAACCAGTATCTTCATTTGAATGGTTTGTTTTGATTTCTTAAGACTTTTCCTTCATGGAAAATCCTGGTTTTGGGAAAGAATTGAAATGAATAGCTTGACAAACCTGTAGATGGAGAAGGGAGCCACAGATCGGATGAGGGATGCCACTGCGCCCACTCTGGCAGCTTCCACAGCTCCTCGAGCTCGGTACAGCACGGTGCTTGAGTAGTTGACGTAAGGTTGGTTATAAACAACAATCTTCCCTCTGGCCTCTGGGGCCCTTCTCTGCAGTTCATCGAAAGAGGTCACCACCAGAACTTCTGCTGTAATGCCTAGAAATAAAAGTCATACAAGATTAACTTGTGGTTTCCGATTAGCCAGGTTAAATTGGCACACAAAAGGTTACACATGCTCTGTCCACTACATCTGGCAAAACGGTTTGAGAAGATCAAAGTTTGAGAATCATGGGAGAAAGATTGTGAGGGTTACCCAGCTTCCCAAGAGAGAGAAAAAAACATTCAAGATAATAAAACAAACTATTCATAAGGCTTTTCAGCTCACTTGACCAGCTGGTATTAAATCACAAATTGTTTGAAGAGATAATGTTTTTTTCTTCTTATCTCCCACCCTAAAAAGTCATGAATTTCACAGAATGACAGTAATTATTTATAAAGAAAATGCATTTCAGAAAGCTCCTCTTGGGATTAATGAAACACATATTTATCTTTTCATAAAACTAGTTTAATATGTTGCTAAATAACCTACATTGACATCATATAAAGAATGGCGTTTGTGAAGAACGCTCTTAGAAGTCAATGTTCTTCATAAATCCACCTTTTAATAAATGATTTACGTATATTTGCCTAAGAACCACAAAAAGAGCTTATTTTCTTTTCTCCTTTGTACAATACGTTCTTAAAGGATATGGAAACTTCCCAAGCATCTCGATTTATAATACATGTTCATCACTAAACACATCACTATTTTTCAAATAAAAATATTTGGAAGACATTGTGTAATTATCCTATAATCCTTTTGTCTCGCTTAGAAAACGTATGCCGTCGTTCTTTGCACAAGACTTGCCCAGATCTTCCAAGAAGTCATTCAATAGCTGACAGGCCACCAAAGATCCAATCTGATGGAATACTTAAAATGACAAATAAAAATTATTTAGCAACAAAGGCCACATGCAGTGGCTAAGAGCTCCCAAAAGAAAGTTATAGGCACCTACTGTTTTGTGGTTTCAGCCATTCAGTCATGAAATATGTCAGTAAAAAACAAAATATCAACATATATTTGGCATTACTTCTTTAATCTCACAAACCAGAGATTTCTGAAAGCTTAGCAGATGTCATAAAAATGTTAACTATTGCATTGATAATCCTTTGTAACTGCATAGCAGGTATGAGAGAATTCTTGGTTTCCATATTGGTTCCACCCTTTGGACTAGCTCCTCTACATCTGGTTCCACCACCCAGACTGCATTTGTACTTTAAAGTGATTGGCTACAGCTCTATAAGCATGTCTCCATCAAAACTCAGAACTCAAACTTAATTTATAATCTCAAAGGGGGTCATTCGTTATTATGGAAAGCAAAGCCATTAGCTTTCTCACACGACTAATGTGTGTGAAAATACAAACAAGGGTTTGGCTAGACAGATTGTAAGATTCCTAACTTTCTGAAACCTGGAGTTACCTTGAAATTTGACTGGGGTTATTGTTGGCATACTAAGGGAATTTTGCTGATAGTTTTCAGCTGTTCCTAATGAATAACAGGTTCAGTGGTCCACCCAAGGGATGTCCCAGGGATGGGGTAATTTTGGCCTCTGGATTAGAGCCACTAGAAATGAAGCCATATTTCTATAAATTTTTATAGGCCATTGCAAAATTAAAGGCATACGAGAGTGGTACTTCACTAAAGTCTAGCTTCAAATCAAGTTCTTTTAATAAATGAGAGAGAGGTAGAGACTATATATAGTTGCCAATGAAAGTCACTAGTAGCGGCTACAGGTCAAAACTTATCACTATGAACTTGGGAGAAGAGGTCAAATGAATTTGTTTCCTGAAAGCTTTGATTCCCCTCTTTCCTTTACCCCTCACATTGAATCAATCCCCAAATACTGCTACTTTGACCCCATACACATTAATTGAACTACATTCCCATTCTATCCCATTACTCTCTTGCATGGGGTTCTCATTCCCTCTCTTTTGGATGGTTGCAAGTCCCTGCTCACAACACCGTCACCACTAATATCCCAGGTATGAGTCCAGATCCCTCACCTTAATCCCCACAGTGCTGCAAGAGTGACCTACTTGAACTCCTGGCAGATCACATCTGCCTAGGTCACCACCTCCACAGTCTTCTCCCACCTCTGCAAAAAATCCATCACTTCAATGTACCACTCAAGCCTATGTATCTCTGTTGTTTTGTTGTTAGGTGTCATCGAGTCATCTCCAACTCATAGCAACCCTATATACAACAGAACAAAACACTGCCCAGTACTATGCCAGCCTTATGATCTTTGCTATACCTGAGCCCATCATTGAAGCCACTGTGTCAATCCATCTTGTTGAGAGCCTTCACCTTTTTCAGTGACCCTCCACCTTACCATTCATGATATCCTTCTCTATGGAATGGTCCCTTCTGATAATGATTAGACAGTGTCTCATTGCTATTCATAGCTTTTTACTGCCCAATTCTTTGAGAAGTGGATGGCCTCTTCCTTCTTCCAAATCTGTCTTATTCGGAAAGCTCCACTGAAACCTGTCAACCATGGGTAAACCTGCTGGCATTTGAAACACTGGTGGCATAGCCTTCAGCCTCATGGCAACATGCAAGCCACCACAGTACAACAAACTGACAGACAAGTTCATCTTTCTTAGTTGTTCCAAACCACTCCGCTCACTTCCTGGTCTCTGCAGACATTCAAAACCAAAAAACCAAACCCACTGCCATCGAGTTGATTCTGACTCATAGTGACCCCCATTGGGTTTCCAAGGTGGTAAAACCTTATGGAAGTAGATTGCCTGGTCTTCCTTCTGTGCAGTGGCTGGTGGGTTTGAAGTGCCAGCCTTCTGGTTAGCAGTCAAATGTCTTAGGCACTGTGCCACCAGAACTCCATCTGTAGACACTAGATCCCTTTTATTTTAAACTTGAACTATACTAAACCATTAACAGTGCCCTTCTCATACCATATGTGCTATTTCACCCCTCAGTGTCTTTGTGCACTATGGTACATCATATCTTACTGACATTCTCCCAACTTCATCATGCAACTTAAAAAAAAAAAAAAAAAGCTGCAGTCCAGTTATTTTGACTCATGGCAACCCAATATATTGCAGAGGAGAACTGTGCTCCATAGAGTTTTCAATGGCTGTGACCTTTCAAGGGGAGCTCTGGTATCATTGTGCCTAAGGCATTTGACTGCTAACCAGAAGACCGGCAGTTCAAACCCCCCAGCCACTCCTTGGAAGGAAGACTGGGCAATTCTACTTCCATAGTGATACTGCCTTGGAAACCCAAGGAGGGGTTGCTATGAGTTGGATCCTACTCAATGGCAGTGAGTTTGGTTTTTTGGTTTTGGTGACCTTTCAGAAGCAGACTGCCAGGACTTTCTTCCAAGGAACCTCTAAAAACCAAAACCAAATTCACTACCATCCAATCAGTTCTGACTTACAGAGATCCCTCCTGAGTTTCTGAGGCAGTATCCTACGGAAGTAGATTGCCCACTCTTCCATTCAAGGGGTTGCTGGTGGGTTTGAACCACCACCCTTCTGGTTAGCAGTCAAGTGCCTTAGGCACTATGCCACCAGAGATGGGTTCAAATCACTATCATTTTAGTTAGTAGTTGAGCACTTAACTGTATCACCCAGGGACGCCTATCATGTGACTAAGGCATATTTATCCTTCAGGATTCCACTCAAGAACCACTTCTTTGGGAAGTACTCCCTGGTCTCTGCCTCTTGTCCCATTCCTGTACCCAAGTCCCAGTCAAGCTAGGTCACTCTTCGCCCTTCTCTGGAATTTCAGGGCACCCTGGGCCTTCCTGGGCACTAAATAAATGAAACTTTGCCCACTTATGTCTCTCTTCACCCCTTAAACTATGATCTCCTCAAGGCTTGGGGCCATGTTCATGTCTGTTTGTACCTCTAGGGCCTAACACAATGCTTGGCCTATGTGTACACAGTTAGCGAATAAACACTCACTAAATGGCACTGCTCCAAATAAGAGACCATCGACCAAGTCTAAAGCATTTCCATGGATGTGCAATTTTACCTTTAAAGTTTGATAGCACTTCTCCCACAGAACTCAGTGATCTGATTCTCTTACCCACCCAGAGCACAGCTGCAAAGCAATAACCAAGAAAGGTCTTGACGTAATGAGAACAGAAATACAAATTCCAAGTACTAAAATCCAGATAATTTGATTTTTAAGAAGGCCCTTCTGACTCTCTCACTTTACACAAAATTCTAAACTAGTATTTAAACTTATAAACTATGAGAAGCAACAAATGAAAAGAAGATAGGCCAGAAAGCTGATGCAGTACCACACACAAAAAAATTATAAATAAATAAATGTACACACATATGTATGTATACCTATATGTATGTATGAATAACAGAAACACTATAAAATAACAAATACTAATAGAACCTCTGCAAGGATGAAAATATCTTTATCTGTGCTAACAGGGTAGCTATTGGCCACATGTGGCTACGGAGCATTTGAAATGTGACTCATATTATGGAGAGACTGAATTTTTAATGTTATTTAATTTAAATTCATTTAGGTTGGGATTTAAATAGCCACATGTGCATCATGGCTACTATGTAGAACTCACAATCATTCAGACTCAGGCCAGCATGAAGGGCCAAACAGCTGAAAGTGGCCCTGAAGACTGTGCTCCATGGCGGTCCAGTAACAGATGGGACAGTCACAGTGATGACCCCTGCATCAGTCACAGGCCATGTAGACTATACTCAATATCCACCATTCAGGTAGGCAAGGAGTGTAAAACACACTCTAGGAAGGTTCTGGCTCAAACCAAACAAAGTAAAACTAGGCTATCTGGAAAGCATCACTCTTCTAAATTAGTTTATATTTTGACATATGTTATACCAAAGAAAATTCTCATGCTGTCTTTCAAATTAGCAGGCTCCCATTCTTTTTTCTACCCTCGTTTTCCTTCTCCCATCGTCCCATACCAAAATACAGTGTATGTAAACCCCAAATAACAGAAAACTAGTGTTATCTTCGCAATAAGGCCAACTCTGACCTCCCTATGTAAAACCCACTCCATATTTCCTATTCCTTCATCATGCTTAATTTTTC